CCTGTCAGCAAAGGAAGCTATAGAACAGGTGTACTCACCCGACAGAGAGTCGGGTTTTTACAGACGTTATTTCATTGTTCCAAAAAAGGATGGGGGGTTGCGTCCCATTTTAGATCTTCGTCTGTTGAATCGGTCAGTACAGAAACTCAAGTTCAAGATGCTGACACTCAAACAGATCGTGACTCAAATCAGATCCGAGGACTGGTTTGTCACGATAGATCTGAAGGACGCTTACTTCCATATCTTCATCCTCCCTCAGCACAGGAAGTTCCTAAGGTTTTCTTTCAGGGGCAAAGAATACCAATATCGGGTTCTTCCTTTCGGTCTAGCTTTATCACCCCGCACGTTCACGAAATGCGTGGATGCAGCTCTAGCCCCTTTCAGGCTTCAGGGCATACGTATTCTGAACTACATCGACGACTGGCTGATTCTGGCGGAATCAGAGCAGTTGGCGGTTCGGCACCGAGGTGTCGTTCTCGCTCATATGCAGATGTTGGGGTTGAGGCTCAATGCCAAGAAGAGTGTTCTTTCTCCAGTACAGAGAACCACTTTCCTTGGTGTGGTATGGGATTCAGTGACGATGCGGGCCACTCTATCGCCCGTTCTTGTAGCTGCTGTCCTGACAGCCACCAAAGAGCTAAAGCTAGGCCAGTCACGCACTGTGAAACAGTTCGAGAGACTGTTGGGTCTCTTGGCGGCAGCGTCCAACGTGATACCTTTTGGCCTGTTGTACATGAGACCTTTACAGTGGTGGCTAAGGACCAGAGGGTTCTCCCCGAGGGGAAACCCACTTCGTATGATCAAGGTCACGCGGCGGTGCCTTCGTGCCTTAATTATATGGAGGAAACATTGGTTCTTAACCCAGGGTCCGGTATTGGGAGCTCTTTGCCATCGTGTTACGATCTCGACAGATGCTTCCCTCACCAGCTGGGGAGCGGTAATGGAAGGCCGCTCGGTTCAGGGTCTGTGGAAAAGTCATCATCTTTCGTGGCACATCAATTGCCTGGAGATGATGGCTGTCTTCAATGCGTTGAGACAGTTTCTCCCAGACCTGAGGGGCCATCATGTGCTTGTACGAACAGACAACACATCAGTGGTCTCTTATCTGAACCGTCAGGGGGGTCTGCGGTCGCGTCCGCTTTGCAAACTGGCGCACCAGATCCTCCTGTGGTCTCTGGGGAAGGTACTCTCCCTGAGGGCAGTGTATATTCCTGGGGACCAGAATATGGGGGCAGACATCCTGTCGAGGCAGGAGCTGAGGCCAGGGGACTGGAGACTCCACCCCGAGGCGGTGGAGAAAATTTGGGAGTTTTACGGCCAAGCAGAGGTGGATCTGTTTGCGTCTCAGCATACGACGCACTGTCCACTTTGGTTCTCCCTTACTCACCCAGCCCCCCTGGGGCTGGATGCTATGGTGCAGACGTGGCCGAGGCTACGTCTGTACGCATTTCCCCCTGTTGCTCTGCTCCCAGGAGTTCTGGAACGAGTCCGCCAGTACGGAATAAGCCAACTGCTTGTAGCACCACGCTGGCCGAGTCGGATCTGGTTTGCGGACCTGATCCATCTCTTAGACGGTCCTCCCTTGGAGATCCCGATCAGGAGAGACCTTCTGTCTCAGGCCGGGGGCACAATATTTCACCCTCGACCAGAGATTTGGAACCTGTGGGTTTGGCCTCTGAGGGGGCCCAACTCATAGAGAGTGGTCTCTCAGCTGAGGCTGCTGAGACCATCCTAAGCTCCAGAGCTCCAGCTACTAGGAAACTTTATGCGCTTAAATGGAGAGTTTTTTCTGTATGGTGTCACCGACATCAGTGGGATCCAGTTAACTGTTCTGTGAACACAGTACTCGAATTCCTGCAGGAGCGCTTTACGTCAGGTCTATGTCCTTCTACGCTCAAGGTCTACGTGGCGGCCATTGCGGCTTACCACGCCCTGGTGGGGGGTACATCGTTGGGTCGAGACCCCCTGATTACACGTTTCCTTCGTGGCACATTGAGGCTGAGGCCTGCAACTCGCACTAAGGTGCCAGCTTGGGTTCTTGCTATAGTACTAGAAGGCCTGTCTAGGGCTCCGTTCGAGCCCTTAGATTCGGTTTCAGAGAAATTTCTTACCCTCAAGACTATCTTTCTGCTAGCTATTTCTTCCCTTAAGAGAGTTGGAGACCTTCAGGCCCTTTCGGTTTCCCCCACCTGCCTTGAGTTTGCACCGGGGATGGTCAAGGCATTCTTATATCCGAAACAGGGATACGTCCCTAAGGTGCCGACCTTGATTCCGAGGCCTATTGTGCTGCAGGCTTTCTGTCCTCCTCCTTTTACATCTGCGGACCAGGAAAGGCTGAACCTCTTGTGTCCAGTGCGAGCACTGGATACTTATGTTCATCGGACATCTTCAATGAGGAAGTCCGACCAGTTATTTATTTGCTTTGGATCACCTAAGAAGGGTCTTCCTGCTTCTAAACAGACGGTTAGTAAGTGGATAGTCGAGGCTATTTCACTTGCATACGAGTACTCTGACCATCCGTGTCCCTTGGTGGTCAGAGCTCACTCTACGAGGGTATGGCGGCCTCTAAAGCCTTGTTATTTGGGGTTTCTCTCCAAGACGTCTGTGATGCGGCAGGCTGGTCCTCACCGCTCACATTCATCAGGTTTTACAGTTTGGACCTGGATGCTGCCCCAGGTTCTCAGGTGCTTAGTGCTTAGTTCCAACAGACTGACACTCAGGTACTTGGAATTCTGGCGTTTTGGGTATTCTCATTCCCAAAGCGTCGATGACGCATCGCGAGTTCCCTCGAAAGGGAACGTCTCGGGTTACTACTGTAACCATAGTTCCCTGAGAAAGGGAACGAGACGATGCGTCACCCTACCATACTTCCTGCATCCCTGTGATCGGCTTGCTTCGACTTTTTGAAGCTAATGCCGCGTTTCACCGGATGTGCTCTTATGCCTTCCTGGTCATGACGTCACCCGCCCGTGACGCTCATTCTTTCCATTGGACTAGTTGACATTGATGCTCAGACGCATTCACGCTGGGGGCGTTCCCAAAGCGTCGATGACGCATCGTCTCATTCCCTTTCTCAGGGAACTATGGTTACAGTAGTAACCCGAGACGTTTTTAATTGTGCTTTATAAATAAATTACCTTACCTAATATATAACCTCACATGCCAATAAAATAAATTTCAATACCTTTTTGAAGTAATTTATGAGCATTTTATCTCGTTTCCATAGGATTATCACTGCCCTGCAAATTAACAGTAACAACTGTCAGAAGTTGTCAGTAATTTACTGTTAATTTACAGTTCTCCTACAGTAATCTAATTTACAATATGTTACCATAATAAATTCCATGGAAGTTAATTTCATTTGGGGATATCGATTGCCTTGAACCATTTAAGTTTAAAAAACTAATATTTATACGATGTAAGTACTGTGAACATTTCTTTTGAGTCAACTTAACAGAATTGATATAAAATTAAACTGCAAACACTGCTCAAACACTTCATTTGTAATAGTGGAAAACACTTCATGTGTAATAGTGAAAAAAATTAAAACTAAAAACACCACAATATAGCACACATAAATGAGCTAATATAACAAGCAAATAGACACTGCTTCAGCAACTACAAAGTTACTGCCTTCAAAATAAAGCACCATGTTGAATGTTTTTTGGCATATCCTCGACTAAACCAGAGGCACAATGGTAACCCACAAAAAACAGAACAGAAACCCTTTTAAATCCTAATATAGCAATGCATCAAGACACCAGTAAACCTGACACCATATCTTGGTGTCAGGTTTCTGTCGCTTCATTCTGTTTATTCTTAGGTTGATGACAGAGCTCTGACACTGCTATCGTCTTGTCTTGTGTATGGGCGCGTGTGCTCTTCTGTCCATGTGAGTTGTCTTGTGTGTGGGGCGTGGTGTTTGGATCCCGGTATGGCAAGCCAAAGGACAAATTCCAAACAAATGTGACCATCCCTATGCCCTAATCTTTGAGTTGGGACTATGGAGGGAGCAGGGCACTTGCGTGCCATAGTTGTTTGGAACACACTTGGCAAAGGGAGCAATGAAAGACATTGAAAGACATGTAATTTCCTCATTATCTTCACTTGGGATGTTCCCATGACAACGCAGCACAATAGGCTCATATAACTAATGCGCCCTTTAAATAACCAAAAAAAATACTGCGCGATTGACTTTAGACCAGGTTTCAGTTGGTCTCAGTTGCCTCAAAATAGCAACGCGCCAAAAATGCACCTGAACACACCTCGTTTTCACACCAGCAGCCCATGGGTGCACAAATGGGCCCAAATGCACTTGCTATTTAATAATATGAAAATAATAACTGCGTCGGGCTGAAACTAGCAAAAAACACTTGCGTCACGCCTGGTGCCACATTGCTCCGGGTGTATGATAGGGCCCTAAGAGTGAAATTATGATTAACTTCACATTATGAATTACAGTAACTCTGAGAAACTACATCATGAGATCACTTAAGTGGTATAATAATCATATTCTGAAAGATCAAATTCAAAATATCGTGTTGATTATTTGAACAACAGAATGATTTACACACAGGCATCAAAAGAGTATAAGCAACCATTTCGGGCACAGTTTCTGTGTGTGGACTCTCCATATAAACATGTTCACAGTAAATTGCAATAGGCTGCTTTATAGTAAATTGCAAATATTGCCCAGATACTTTTACAATGTAAAACATTGTTACTGTCAGATTTTGGCTGTTTTAACAGCATTTTCTTTTACATTGTAGACTACAGTAGATTTCAAAGTTTGGATATGACATTGAAAATTAGAATGTTTTCTCATTGGTATCTGTCTCTCTTGCACATATAGATGGAGTCTGCAGTGACTGCTACCATCTTCACCACTTCCCCAGTACCAATTATAACCAACAGAACAGAAGTTTCCTGTAAAATTAGAGGTCTCAACCCACCAGGTTTTCATATTTAGCTACTCACTAATGTTTCTTGTCAGTATGGTTCTGAATTGCATCACGATGCGTGTGTATTTCTGCACTAATCAGCGTGTCCAGTCCAGCGTCACGGTCTACATGAAGAACCTGGCCGCAGCTGACTTCTTCCTTTGTCTTAGTTTAACTTTGCACATTGCTAACAATGCTAACTATTCCGTGACGATAAAAAATATTTACTGCAGCTTTGGAGCAACAGCCTTCTATATAAACATGTATGCAAGTATTCTCTTCATGGACTTTATTGCTGCAAACAGGTATGCAACTCACTTATTTAATCTGGTGAATGATAAAACTGTGTAAAAAAAAAAACCTAAACACTTAAAAGTGGACATTAGCCTTTAAAGGGATAGTTGACCCAAAAATGAAAATCATGTCATCATTTACTTGCCCTCATGTCATTCCAAACCCCTAAGACTTTTGTTCATCTTCAAAACAAAAATGAAAATATTTTGAATGAAAACTTAGAGACCATTTTGTACAGAGTAGGCTACCAAGTCACAAAAATGCATCTGATCACACTTAATCGCACAAAAGTGTTAACTCAATTTCCCATAATGTACCAGATTTTAAAAACATTGAGGGAAACATTCAAATACATTCTCTTCGCAAAGAATGTTGATTTGGCTAGTAAGTTTGAGCCAGCAACCTAGAAACCAACCCAAAACACCAAGGCAACCACATTGCAATGTCCAAAAAACACCCACAACACCTTTTGCAACCACACAGTAATGACTTATGGCAGTGAGTTTTACATTCAAGGACTTATAAAAATCATTGGTAGCTATTATTATTCCAATTAACTCAAGGTGTTAAATGTAAAATCAAAGGCAATCAAAGAAGTAGATATGTCAAGAGGCACATATAAAAAAAGAAGTGCCTTTACCTACATTTCGGCAAAACTCCAAAAGCCTTTACCATTTACTGCACTATACATCTTAAATGAGCTTTAGTGGCAGTAAAACACCAACAACTTGATTTGCACAGTTACTTGCACGATTCTATGTTATGACCTCAAAACACTTTTTGGATGATTTGTAATCTAAATAACCAGCTCCATATATATGGCTTTTCAGTTGCATTAAACTTGCTTTATAACTCACCTTATACACCATTTAGAAGTGGAGAGCTTGAATCCCGTGATAAACAAATAACTCTAAATTGTCTCAAAGACCTGTAGAAGCACGTTAAAATAAAAATGACATGGTTGCTCACATTTGTTTTTGTTAAAACTATCTGTAAGGTTTAGGGTCAGGTTGATTATAGATAGTACATCAGAGCATTAACCTTTTAGTGCCACTCACCGGACATTTCATTGCCAGAATGTTGCCAGATTCAAGTTAATCTGTTTTGGATAAACCTAAACGTGCTTAGAGCCACTCACTGGACAATCCGTGAAAAGTGCAAGAAGCAACATAATATCATTATGCATAAACATCACCACAGGCATGTTTTTCCAAGCCTGGATTGATATATGTGTATGTGATACACTGTAAATTAATCTCATAGTGGAACGCATATTGATATTAACAGCACTTGATTATTTCACTCTGTCACCTCAGGTACCTGAAGATTGTCCGGCCACTGGAGACTCATTCTCTTCAGACGGTTCGTACCGCCCGCCACATTTCTGCAGCTACTTGGCTCTCGCTGTTAGCCACATCTTCCATCTATCTGATTCTCTTTCTCCAGACAGCCCGGGGTCAAAAGCTTGGTGAATTTACTTGTGAATCCCACCACAGTCTCGAGCTCAGTGTGGCCAACAAAATCATCCACTGTGCTTCCGTTGTAGTCTTCATGTTTGTGCTGATGTCTCTGGTTTTTCTATATTGGAAGACTCTGCAAAAGATCCGACAAGCCAAGTTGTCCACACAGACCACATCTAGTAGCCGTAAGTTTGACAAGTCTAAACGCAACATGGTAGTTCTAGTGGTAGTCTTCTGCGTGTGCTTTGTGCCCTATCATCTGGCGAGACTGCCTTACGTGTTCAGCAGTGACTGTGCAACAGCTCAAGCATTAAACATCCTGAAGGAGCTGACCATCTTGATTTCAGTGCTAAATGTCTGTTTCGATCCTCTTATATACTTCATCTTCTGCAAGGCCTTTAGAGCCCAGCTCAAGAAGAAAGATTTTCAAAGATCCAGTGAAGATCAAACATGAAACATCTACTGAAATATTTGTAATTGATACATTTCATTTTTACTAAATTGTTTTGTCAACAGATCAACAATTTTGTCTTAAGATGAACATGAGAAGAAGACTACTCATGATAGTTTTCTATAATAAGTGTTTTAATTATGTATGATATGGGTCACCCCTCTCAGTGTATTTCAGCATGTTGACCTGCGGAGAATCCTCACGCTCATTGGCTGCCATCTTTGTAGATATAATAGCCCTAGTGGAAAAAAAAGTATACTTTATTGTATTTGAAATGTATTCCCTTTTTCAATAGTAATATATATATAGCAAATATACTAACAAAAAATGTACTATCTTTAAATATATTAAAAGTATATTAGCATCATGCTTTTGAGCTATTTTTAAAATACAACTTTTAACACACTTTAAATTAATTGTACTTTAGTATATTTTCTAAAAATATATTTCAAAACAAGCATACTTTTAACATATTTCTAACAAGTGCACTATAAGTACATTGGTAATGAATATATGCTTAGTCACATTTTTAAGAAATATGCTAAACACAAGCATACTTTTAGTGAAGTTTTAGTGTATTTAAACCTCTCGGGTCGGCGGTATCGCCGGCGATACCAGCTCACTTTTTTTCTTATAAGTGCAAAAGAGACTCAAAATACTCTGCTGATTTTTATCTTACATATAAGTGTTATACATCATTCGATCCTGTTAAGTGTCTCTTTTTTTGTGTATACTCACAATAAAAACAAAGTGTTCTGCTTTTTGACAAATAAAGAAAAATAAACATGATGCGAATTTTGCCTTCTCTCTGTCAGTGAAGTCCATTCTGAAACGCGTCCGAAAATGAACTGTAACTCAGTCAATACTTGTCACAGAGACATGAAAGATTTCTCTTTATGAAGCTGAAATTCTCTTCTTTTAAATGAAGTAATTTATATAAAAAACAACTATTCTCAGTTTATGTAATCTGTATGAAAAGAGAAAGATGTCAGTCTTTTTCCTTTCACCTAATTATAGTTTATTTCGTGTTATGTGACAACGCCCACGGAGAGCGCGCGCTATTCAAACGCAAATGTTGAGGCAAGCCGTGAAAACGCCCACATCAGCTGGATAAAACATCCAGTTTAATAAGAATCTTGTACTTTACCTCGTCTTGCTGCGCTGTGAGGAATAATACTATCGTAATAATCCTGGAAAAGTTACCTCAGAAGTGCTGGTAGTTTCACTTCGAGGAGCACGGATTCAGCTGATAAAGTAAGTTATTTATTCTTATGAACAGCACAGACGCGCGCGCGATGTTGTTTACTACAGCTGTACATCGCATCTGTGCCGTTCATTCACTCTTGCTCCTACATTAGTAAACGTTATTTTTACATGAACACTTCCAAACTATATTGCTATAGCCTACTGAGATTTGTTCTAATCGCGATATAGAATAGTGTCTGTAATGACAACATTTCGTTGACTAGTTTTGGATAGATTATAAAGTTTTTACTCTAAAATAGACATCAAATAAGCTTTTGTTAGACAGTTTCTGCTCATATGTTAAATATATAGTATGTTTTGTCAAAAACAAACTAATCAACTGTTATAGTGTTTGTTCCAATGCAAGCTATATCAAAATAATGAATCCTTAACTTTGAAATATGTATGATAAAATGTATTGGCCTACTTTAAAAAATAATACTTTATAAGACATTTATGGAAAAAGACAATTTTCTTTTCAAGATGTTTCCAACTCTAACTTTGAACCAATTCTATAGAATGGCCCATATAACCTATTTGACCAGGATATGTCTCCAGGTATGACTAAAAATGTGCTTTTGACTTTCATTTATATTTTGATTATATATATATATATATATATATACACTCACCTAAAGGATTATTAGGAACACCATACTAATACTGTGTTTGACCCCCTTTCGCCTTCAGAACTGCCTTAATTCTACGTGGCATTGATTCAACAAGGTGCTGAAAGCATTCTTTAGAAATGTTGGCCCATATTGATAGGATAGCATCTTGCAGTTGATGGAGATTTGTGAGATGCACATCCAGGGCACGAAGCTCCCGTTCCACCACATCCCAAAGATGCTCTATTGGGTTGAGATCTGGTGACTGTGGGGGCCATTTTAGTACAGTGAACTCATTGTCATGTTCAAGAAACCAATTTGAAATGATTCGAGCTTTGTGACATGGTATTATCCTGCTGGAAGTAGCCATCAGAGGATGGGTACATAGTGGCCATAAAGGGATGGACATGGTCAGAAACTATGCTCAGGTAGGCCGTGGCATTTAAACGATGCCCAATTGGCACTAAGGGGCCTAAAGTGTGCCAAGAAAACATCCCCCACACCATTACACCACCACCACCACCAGCCTGCACAGTGTTAACAAGGCATGGTGGATCCATGTTCTAATTCTGTTTACTCCAAATTCTGACTCCACCATCTGAATGTCTCAACAGAAATCGAGACTCATCAGACCAGGCAACATTTTTCCTGTCTTCAACTGTCCAATTTTGGTGAGCTCTTGCAAATTGTAGCCTCTTTTTCCTATTTGTAGTGGAGATGAGTGGTACCCGGTGGAGTCTTCAGCTGTTGTAGCCCATCCGCCTCAAGGTTGTGCGTGTTGTGGCTTCACAAATGCTTTGCTGCATACCTCGGTTGTAACGAGTGGTTATTTCAGTCAAAGTTGCTCTTCTATCAGCTTGAATCAGTCGGCCCATTCTCCTCTGACCTCTAGCATCAACAAGGCATTTTTGCCCACAGGACTGCCGCATACTGGATGTTTTTCCCTTTTCACACCATTCTTTGTAAACCCTAGAAATGGTTGTGCGTGAAAATCCCAGTTACTGAGCAGATTGTGAAATACTCAGACCGGCCCGTCTGGCACCAACAACCATGCCACGCTCAAAATTGCTTAAATCACCTTTCTTTCCCATTCTGACATTCAGTTTGGAGTTCAGGAGATTGTCTTGACCAGGACCACACCCCTAAATGCATTGAAGCAACTGCCATGTGTTTCAGGAAAGGGAACGTCTCGGGTTATGACTATAATTCTTGTTCCCTGAGAAGGGAACGAGACACTGCGTCGTCCTGCCACGCCCCTCAATGCCTGAGAGCGGCTTGCTTCATCGCTAGGCTAATGTGTGTTTGTGCCGGCGTAACTTTTATGTGCCGTCACATGTTATGTCATGATGCAACACCAATCAGGATTGGATTAGTTTCATTCATACTTCAGAGGCGCACGCTAAGGGAGCATCCCCAAAGAGTCGTTTTTCAACGACGCAGTGTCTCGTTCCCTTCTCAGGGAACAAGGTTTATAGTCATAACCCGAGACGTTTTTCATAGATGTATATTTTTACATCTGAATACAGTTATGAAAGACCTGTTTGTGAAAGTTTTTTTATTTATTTATGTTTATTGTTTGTTAAAACAGCACCTGCTTTTATTTAATCTTTTGGTTTTGTGAAGAAAAATGAAAGAATATGCGTTAAAGGTCAGATGGCACTTTATGATTTGCTGTATGTCTGAATAAAATAAATAAAAGTTAACTATCTATACCATATTGAATTGCATAGCATCATATTTTTCTCCATTGCATCGTATTACATTGAATCGCATCGCGTTGAATCGGATCGGATCGCACCGCATCGTAAGAGTAGTGAATCGTATTGCATCGCATCGGTAGCTGCTTATATGTATCTTTAATGTATCGTATCGTTGGCTATGCATCGAGATGCGTATCGCATCGGCCTCAGCTATGGAGATGCACATCCCTAATGTACATACATGTTGCTCACATATTATGGTAGCCCTGTTTGTGCTAAATAGAGTGTAATTTCACCTGTGCCATTAATATGTTTATAAGCAACTGAAAAAAAGCACAAATGTCAGGGCATGTCAAAACATCTCAAGGACCCCAAAAACACCTTAGACCCCAGAGGGTTAAAGAAAACATACTTATGTTGCTCTTACTTAAATACATGTTATGAGTACTTTGTGTAAGAACAGCAAAATGATTAAGCTTTTAGTGTGTTGAAAATATATGTACTTTATAAACACCTAGCCGTACTGCAATATATTTTAAATATTTATCTATTTATCATTTTAATATTTTGAGAAAAAAAATACATTTACAATGTACCAACTTCTAATGTATTAGAAAAATTTTTCAACTATTATTAAGCATTGCAATAAGCATACCTAAAATGAATGTTTTTTACTTTTACTTACAAGGCTGTTGTCCATTACATGATATGTTTGTACTACTAAAATTCCCACAAGGATATATCATAGATACATTTTCCAAAGATGTTTAAAAAAGTTTGTACTTGTTTAAATTCAAACAATAGCATAACTCACATGACTAGTCCTGATTGGTTCCAGAGCCGTCAAATGGTTGTGATTGGTTCTATGAAAATGAGCTCGCGCCTCACTCAGAGCTTCCATTTATCAGCTGCGTCCCAATTCGCCTTCTTATTGAGAATGAGAATGTGGCGTCACGCGTTTCACTCCGCGTTGTATTGTGGGAAGGCATCGCCATCTTGGAAGGATACGCTATCCGTTTTCATGGTTACTTTGACAGTGAGACCGAGAGAAATTGTGACAGAGAGAGAGAACAGCTTGATATTTGTTTGCATTTTTGCAATAAGGCACAGTTTCTTGGGAATAAATGAAGAAGGGGGAAGCAAAAGGAAAGGGGCTCTATCGGGAGAGACTAAATAACAACACCAAGCAGCGTTATTTAGAGAAACTACTTGACATCAACAACATGGACCCGTACGACCTGCTACAGAATGGACGAAAGACCCAAAGCACTACCACCTTTCACATACCCTGACATAGTCAATTACCTGGTTTATGGTATCAGTGCCTAACGTTACTGCCTACACAATGCAAGAGTTCAGAAGCTTTAAGTCATTAGAAGCTTATGAAAAATTCTGCCGCGGCTGGGAGCAAGACTTAGAAAGCCCCAAACCTCTAACGTTAAACTGCGAG